GTCTAGGAAGAATATGTCCTTATTTGCTCAAGCCTTCTCCACTTTGCAAATATCTGCAGGAACTCTTCACCTTGTGAAGCTTATTCAAGGTTGGGGGAGAGAGGGAAAGTTAAGGATTCATGTTTTCTCTTTTCTCCAGATGAAACCTGAGAATCATAGCAGGGGACGTGGTAGGGTGTCGTAGAAAGGTCCAGATAGGTGTGAAATTGTGTGTATGCGTGTGGGGTGTGTGTGTGGGGGGGGGGGATGGGGAGGACCTACTGACACACAGGAACAGTGAGGAGAGGCTTCAAGTCTCTGGGAGAGGCCTGCCATCAGCCATGTCCAATGTGGCCCATGAGTGAGTGCTGGGGAGCTGTCTAGGCCAATGGCCCCAAGATAGGGTTCTCCGTTCCCCACCTGTAGCTCATGCATGGGAACCAGGAGTTACCTTGAGTAGACATGGAGAAGCTGAGAGGTCCACCTGTTCAGCTCGACCAGAATAGGGGGTTACTGAGCAGGGACGCTGATGAGCAGTGGCTTGGTGGGATCAGCAGTAACTTGTGTCATTAATGCTATGGCACCCCATGGCTAGCAGACGAGGACACTACCCAGACCAGCCACCCCTTCCCTCGCCACCATGAGGACCGTCAGCCTCCCTGTACCCTTATCCACCATGAGAAGGATCAGAGGGAGGTGGGGAATAGTTCTGCCCGGGAGCTGAACTTTAACTGACCACTTACTAGGAAGAGATAATTTATGCCAGAAGTGATCACGGTGGAATGAATTCAGAAGTTAGTTTTCTCTCTTCTTTCCCAGCCAATACAGCTACACCAATTATGCCATTATAGTGAGATGAAAAAAGTCCTTTCTGGGGGATACAAGAGAGCTGATTTTAAATAAATTAAGAATTTCTTGCTTCGTTTTTTAATGAAAAATTTTCCCTAAGCGCATATTAAACATCCCATTCCTTAATCCATATGACACATTAAGTCCTTGGGACGGATCATTGTCTCCCTTTTGGAGTCTTGATATCTGAAGCCAGAGTATTGTTCTCACATGGGCTTCCTGCCCTAGATGATCAGGGTGAAGGCTTGCTTCCTGTGCTTCGCACGTTGAGTTCCTTAAACAAGATAAGTGCAGATCTTTGCTCATGGCTCTGAGGATCTGACTGCTAAGAAGTGAAGGACTAGTGTGTTTCCCAAGTGCTGACCTGTGTCCACTCTTCA